TTTCATAATATGGCTTATCTGGACTGAATTTTGGAAGATTATCGTTTTCATTACTCTTTTCTTTTTTTCTTTTCAATGATCTTGTTTTTGGAAAAAAAAAACTATCACTTTCAATTTCTAAATCATCATTGAGTTCAGACTTTTCTAACCAGTATTTATTTGATTTTTTATATTCTTTTATTTTTAATAATTGTTTATTTTTCATTTTAAAAATTATTTTATTTATTATTACTTTTATTATTTAAAATTAATAAAAAAGAGAAATAATTATATTAATAAAAAAAGTTTATTTAGTGAATATGATATAATAGTTTTTTAAATTATTACAATAAAAAAATAAAAATAAAAATCAATGTATAGGTGTATTAACTTTATTTATGAGAGAAATTACACATTGAATTAATATAAAAATTAGTGGTAGTGGGTGTGAATCAAGTTTTTTATTTTTATTGTTTTGTGTTTTAATATAAAAAATAATATGAACTTAAACACATTTGTGGGTAGAGGGGGTAAATATATTGGGTTTTTACATAAAAAATAATACATTACATATACTATTATATATTAAATAATTATTTATGATTGAATAAATTTTATACAAATTTTAATATGATAAAAAAAAAGTTTGAAACAATATAAAAAATTGGTAATTAAATCAAAATACCCCATTATGCAACAAATAAAAAAAAAATTACAACATGTCCATATTAAATTAATATGTAAAATAAAATTAAATAATGAATTAATTTTTTTTTTATTATTATTATTATTAGTAATTATAATATTGAAGTGGTAATCTAAAAATTATGTGATTGTTTATTCATTTGAGAAAAAAAAAGTGGTATGGGAAATGTTGTTTTCTTTTTCATCTCAATAGAAAAAAAAAAAAAAACCCAATTCCCCAAGAATTAATTATGTGAAAAATAAAAAATTTAAAAAAAAAACCCAGTTCCCCAAGAATTAATTATGTGAAAAATTTAAAATTAAAAAAAATTTTTTAAAAAAACAAGTAAAGCTTTTTTAATATGGGTATAGTGAGTGTGTTTTGATAAAATTATGTTTCTTTTAACACACACCTATCCGCTTTTTTTTATTTTTTTTAAGTGTGATTGTTAATTTTTAATGAAACAAATTACAACCTTATATCTTCATTATTATAAAATTTTTTTATTTTTTTTCCTTTAAATATTTAACAATAATGTTCTATTTTTAAAAGGTTCTATTTTTAACATTTAAAACTCAACCAAATTTGAAGAGGCAATAAATAATATAATAAAAACAAATAAATAAAAAGAAATAATTATAAACAAACAAATAAATAAAAACAAAATTGAATATATTTTAAAACTAATATTATTATTTTTATTTTATTATTATTACTATAACCTAAAGGTGGATATTGCTTTATTTTGGAGCTTATAAGTTTTCTAATAAGGTTTTGAATCTAATTTTTTGCCCATGTTTTTATTATTATTATTATTATTGTTATATATTATATTTTCAATTTTAATTTCCATATGTTTTCATCTTGTTTACAATTTCTAAGATTATCTTGATAATTTGCAAAATTCATTAAATTGCCATATGAATTTTTATTATTGCCCAATTTGAGTCTATTATAATTAATACTATTACTGTTATTTGTATTTCTTAAAACTCATTGAATGTATTGATTTTATTACTATTATTACTGTTATTTGTATTTAATAAATTGCCTTCTTAAAACTCATCGAATGTATTGATTTTATTACTATTATTGTAGTTACTATTGTATTCTGTTCTTTGAGTGGTACCAAAAAAATTTGTTCTGTTTCTTGTTTTATCATTACTACTACTATTATCATCTATTTCTGTTCTTACAACACAAGTTTGAAATTATTTTTATTAGTACCACCAAAATTATTATTGCGTGTAATTTTATTTTTATTGTTATTATTTTGTTGTCGCAACTACTTTTTAATTTTAACATTTTTCAGGTGTCTATATTAGATTTGAGTGGTACCCCTCTATAGTATGATTATATTCATATTCTTGAATTATTATTTCCAATATCTCTTCAAACCATTTTAATATTTTATTTTCGTACTTATTTGCTTGAAGCAGTGATTAAATAACCTCTTTTTAATTATTTCTATAAACTATTTTTATATCATTAGTTAATACTGAATATCTATTGTAATCAATTCACTATGTTTTGTTATATAAGAAATAGTATTTATATTTACCTTTAATGATTCAAAGTTTGAATTATTAAAAACTTTACATTTATCGAGGTAACTAAGGAATTCTCATTTTTTTTTTTTTTGGATACATCTAATGTTAATTTAAATTCTTTGCTGAGGTTGCAAGGATATTGTAATTATTATTATCTGTCTTTATTTATCATTATTAAAGATATTATTATGTAAAAAATATTATTGTGTGTATTATTTTTTTTTTTTTTTTTGAAGAAATTAAAAATTTTTTTATTTATTTTTTTTTTATTTTATTTGAATTTTTTATAATTATGTGAAACGATGAAGATATTTTTTAGAAAAAAAAAATTAAAATTTTTTTTTTATTGCAAAAATTTGTTGGGTTAATCATTAATAATATCAATCTTTATTCTTTCACCTATAAAATATAATATTGTAAAGTTATTTAATTTTATTATTTATTATAATAATTTTTAAAATTAAAACAAAATAAAAATCAAATAAATACTGTTTAGAGAGTCGATTTTATAAATAATTATGATAAATATATCAAAATCAGTATCATGAAAAAAAAAAAGTAAAAGAAAAATTAAAATGATAATCCTCCAAAATACCATCCAGATAAGCCATATTATGAAATTTACGTTGACAATGTAGTCACTAAAACCATTTATGCGCTGATTATGACATTTGCCGCTGTGATATCAACAAAAAAACAACTAAAATTTTCAATCTGAGATATAAATATATTTGATGAGCCAGATGAGGAAGGAAATCATAAAAAATATAAAAGTACTGTCGTTCAGAATTTGATTATAAAAATACATCAACGAATACACCCATTTTGGCCTTTATATCAAATTAATATATAGGCGAAGCTTTATTTTGGAAGATAATTAGAATTAAATTTTAATTTTAATTAATATTTTCAAACTTCAAACTCTTTCAAAAAGTTATTCATGTATGATGATTTAATAGGTTCTTTTTATAGATATTTTGATGTGGAATTAGTCATAATTAACATCACCATATATATACCAAAGATAACAAAGAATTCTATAGACAAATCACAAAACTATAATATATACATTAAAAATATTCAGCTACTATACATTCTGCAATTATATTTATTTATATGGATATAATTGTATATTATGTTCAATTACAACATAATATACATAATATACATCACAGTGTGTATGTTATATATCTATTTGAAATATTAATATAAATTAATAAATAAAAATTAATATGATATTCATTAATAATATAAATTTTGAAAGTGAGTGTGTGTATAATTTTATTTGTGTGTTGAGTGGGAAAGGTAGAGTGGGTTGAAATTTATCAATACATTTTTGTGTTAACTGTGTGAAATTTTACCACACATTTACATAAAAAAAAAAAAAAATTACATGTTTAATATAAATTGTATATACTAATTTGGAGTCGAATAATTAACCTTTCCCCATTAATAATTCAAAATTAATAATTTTTGTATTGTTCTATTTTTAAAAAAATTTAAGTTCAAAAAAAATTCTGTTAAATTGAAACAGATCTAGATCCATAAGTGTTTTTTTTAAAAGCTGGTAATAAAAAATATAAATTGTAATTATATATGGCAACGGCAATTTATAGCATCACCTTAATTGTTAATTAAAACAATATATAAATAAATATTATAATAATTATTATTAAGTCACTTAATACTGATAGAGTCATTACAGGTAAATCATTATTAAAATTAAAAAATTATTATTTTTAAAAAAGGAATAAAAGGAGTTGGTAATGTATTTAATACCCTACTCCATGCATTTAAACATTAATATTTTTTAATTTCCTATCCCCCACTTAACACAATTTAATATTTTCTTCCCTCCCCCCACCAAACACACATATTAGTGATTGTTAACAATTAACATAAACAAATACTATGGGGTTATTTTTGAAACAAGTAGAAGATATATTCAGATTAGTGTTTTTATTTATTTATTATTTTTTTTTATTATTAAATTATTAAGTTTTGAAATTATAAATAATTTAAATTTTAATAATAAAAAAAAATTAAAAAAAATAAAAACATTTTTTTTATTAATAAATATTAATTAAAAATAGTAAAGATGAATAATCAGACTCCTATATATAATCAGGCCTTTTTTAATGTTTTCCGTCACTCTAATCTTTTTTTTACTGAAAATAATGATTTTATTGGGTCTCTCAATTTTTTACAGTATTATAGAAGTTTAAATGTAAGATTAACCGACTCGAATCAACTAAATGTATTTTTAAAGCTAGTATTTTATTCACGTCAAGTTACAAAATTTACCATTGATTCAAACAGTGGTACTTCCGTTCTTTTTAAAATTTTCTCGCCCTTCATCATAACACAGAATCTTACCTCTTTGAAATTAGCCTATATGGAGTATAACGTTCCAATTAAACCAGGAATGATCCCGAGTTACTTTAAAAGAACTTACACTGCCACATGATTATAATCATCCGCTTCAAGAAACCTTTGCTATTACAAACGATTGTCTTAATTACATACCAGTTTTTCCTGAAAATGGATTAACTAAATTGTACATTACCAACTCATTTAATCAACCAATTATTCAAAATGTCCTTCCAAAAACTTTAAAAGAACTAAAAATTGGTACTTCTTTCACCCAAGAATTGTATTTCGAAAGTATTCCAGACTCTGTTACTTTTCTTACTCTTGACTGCCCATATTATAATCATCAGTTTGCTCCAGGAATCCTTCCAAGAAATTTAATAAAGCTAAAGATTGGTAATAATGTTCCTTTATTGCCTGGTTCTTTACCAGAATCTCTTACTTATCTCAAACTATGCTGCGACTTTAACCAACCTATTACTGCTAATCTATTACCAAAAAATCTTAAAAAAATATCTTTTGGTTCTAGATTCCAAAGTAACTTTGTTCCATCTGAAAATATTCATACAATCGTTTTTGGTAACA